CCAGAACGATCCATTACATCGGCCTGGACGATACAACACAATTATACCTAAATTAATCTTGCAATTATGGAAAGAAATTAAGGCTGATTGCACGATCACATCGGTCGGACCGATTGCAGGATCGGCCGGGACGATGGCGTGGACGATTGACATCAGCCTACTTCAATTCAGGGCGATGTCCAGAATGATTTAGCTCGGATTTGAACTAATCGGCCCTGTACAATGTGAACAAAATTTCTTCTGATTGTCCCATGTCGTCCTAGCTGATTGAGCTTAATTTGTACTGATCGTACAGGACGATAGAAATATCGTCCTGGACGATAATGTCGGTTCTTGAAATTCTATTTAAAGGACCCGAATTTTCTCATGCAAAAAATCTTTTGCTGTTGTCTTGACCTTAGAGAGCCAAGAGAAGAGGGAGAGAGAGGGAGGAACTTTTGAGGGGGAGTTTGTGAGAGGCATTCACAAAGGTTGCTCCAAGCAAGGTTCCAAGGCGTTTTCTCCAGTCTTCATCCTTCGTCCTTGGGGGTTCAAGGGAGGTCTTCTTCAGTAATTGGTCGAGGTTTTTTGCCTGCTTCAGGAGGAAGCAAAAGGAGTTGGGTTCTCTGCCTGCTTCAGGACGAAGCTAAAGGAGTTGGGTTCTCTGCCTCGCCGGGGTTGGTGGAAAGGAGTTTTTGTGAGGGCTTCTCCGTCTTGCTGTGGGAGCAAAAGGAGACACTTAGTTAGTGCAATACTCGGAGGGTGCCTCCGAGGAGTAGACGTAGGTCAAAGTTTGACCGAACCACTATAAATCCGGTGTGATCCTTCTTTGTTTTATTTTCGTATTTATTTTTCCGCACGTTGATTTCTTTGTGGTGATATTGATTTGGTTAACTGTTTCGTGCTTTGCTTAAGAAAGATTTTTTAAAATACCAATTCACCCCCCCCCCCTCTTAGTTAGCCTCGGGCTAATTCTTAAGGGCTTAACAATATATATATATATATAACCTTCTTTTATAGGCGGGTTAATCAAAGTATGAGAGTGATATTTTATTATTAATAAGATATTTAGTTGGTTCACCTAAATTTGTGATGCACATCTATTTTCACATAGATTTTTTTAGAGTAATAGACTTCTATAACAAATGATTTTAGAATCGATGATTAGATTAAGATGAAATGATTTATATGATTTGCGACTTACATTGATATATGGTTTCTTTTATCATGATTGAACAATTTTAAAAAGTAGAATATCAAAATGGGTCAACATTTTGTAGTGGGCTCTTGACATATGCTATATGATGGCCTTTTAGAAAATGGTTTTGTTTGATGGTGGGTTCTTGACATTTTGTTATTGCTTCTTTAGATAATTTTGAGTTAGAGTTGAGCTCCTTTAATTTAATATGTGTACCGGAGTACTCTTGTTATGAAAAAAAAATGCATATCTAGAAATTAGCACATGCTATCATTTGCCATCGTGTCGCAAATAGGTTTTTTTGCTATGTATCCTTTTTGACGATAAAAATCCACATATTTTACATTTGTCTATTATCCTTTACTTTTAAATTATTCAAACATTGATTTTGTGTGGTGTTTTAAAATTTTATAATGTAGTATTTAGTAAATGGATAGGTAAAAAAAAAATGATAGGTAGAGGAAAGAATGCATATAGATTGATATTAATAATCTTTTTGTTGACCTTGGACGTTGACCTCCAATTTGGAGTTACGATGTAAATGAGAAGGATAGAGTGAGAAGAGAATAATTATTGAAGGGACACCATTAATCGAAAAATCATCATTTCCCTGAAATAATAGTGATAATTGTTACATGCAAATTTAATTCAAAATGGTTCAAAAAATATCCTGATTGGTTAGAATACAATGTCTTTATTGCAATCTTATTAAGCCAAAAGCGCAAATTAGTACAGGCCAAGATGGGGGAGATACATTTATTGTTAAAAAGTTCAAAAATTGCATGAGAAAAACAAAACTTCTAGCCATGTTGGAGAATATAATAGTTTACACAATAAGGCTAGACAAAAATATGAGTATTTAATAAAACATTAAAAGTGGAGTCTTTCTTCGTTGTTGAGCAAAGATAAGAAGAATAAAAAAGAATATCGTATTATGCTGACTGCAACTATTGATTGTGTTAGATTTTTATTATGCTAAGGCTTGTCATTTCGTGGTCATGATCAGACATATGATCTGATAATTAAGAAAATTATTTGAAGCTATTTCAATTTCTTGCTAATCATAATGAAGAAATTAAAAAAATTATATTTGAAAATATAAGTATAAAGTTGAGGTTAATTTCTCCAAAGGTTTTGAAAGAAATATATAATTTCAGTTGCTAAGACCTTAGTTTTTATTATAAAAGATGTATATATTTCATACTTTTTCATTCTAGTAGATGAGTCACGTGATGTGTATACAAAGAAACGATTAGTTGTGATTGTGAGATTTGTAGATAAGATGAACCAAGTTATTGAGAGATTCATTGATATTAAATATGTTTTCTCAATCACTGCAGTAGCACTTATGGCCTCTTTTGAAGCTATACTTTGAAAATATTTATTGAGCATACATAGGATATATGGTCAAGGTTCTGATAGGACATCTAATATGATAGAGAGGTTTTATGATTTGAAAGTACTCATACTTAATTATAATACTCATACATTATATATTCATTATTTTGCCTGTCAACTTCAACTGTGCTTAATGACTATATCAAAGAATCATATACATATGAAATATTTTTTTTCAGAATACTTCAAAAATTATAAATACTGTTGGACCTTCATGGAAGAGTAATGATACTTTTAAAGTTATTCAACATGATAAAAATAATTTTTCATCTTACCACTAAAGAATTAAATAGTTGTCGAGGTTTAAACCAAGAGATTAATTTGCAATAAACCGGTGACACCTGATGGGTTCACATTTTCATATTTTAATCAGTCTTATGAAATGTATGCTTGTGTAATAGAAGTGCTTAAAATTGTCAAAGATATTGGGTGCATGATCAATAATCAGTTGAAGTTGGTATTTTGATAGATACAATGGAATATGTTGACTTTATCTTGACAATGCGTTTGATGATTAACATTTTATGAATTATAAATAAATTATCACAAGCCTTATAAAGATAAAATAAAGATATTATAAATGCAATGAAATTAGTATAAATATCCAAGCAACAATTGCAGATGATGAGAGACAATAAATGAGATATTTTATTCGATGAACAATCTCTTTTTTATTATTTGTGAAATTGATGTTCCTAACATGGATTTCATATTTAAGTCTTGCTGACGATCAGTACAAAGTAACGTTGAAAAGCAAAATTGCATCATTATTGTATTGATTTATTTTACATTATTATTGATATACAGCTTTAATATAAGTAATCAATTGTTTGAAGCTAACATTAAGTTGTTTATTTGTTTGGCGTGTCTAAACTTAAGTGATTCATTCTCTGCTTATGATAAACGGAAATTAATTCATCATGCAGAGTTACATTCAGCTAATTTTTCTATAGTTGAACTTGTGACTCTTAAATACTAGTTATCTTCTTATATTATTCATTTGAGTTCTAATCTTTGAGTAGCATTGCTGATAATGCAAAATAAATTATTAAGGTTAGGAAGAATGTTTTATATCTACTTTTATAGGCTTATTATCTTGTCATTGATTTTGTCTATTATCATTATTATAGTGGAGAGCATTTTATGCAATAAAGATTGTTGAGCATAGACTGTGTAGCAAGATGAGTGATGATTAGTTTCATGATTTTCTAGTACTATATATTGAGAAAAATGTATTTGACTTGATTCCCCAAATAATTTGTAATATAATATTATCAGAAAATGCAAAATACAATTTAAAGCTTGTAATTATTTTCCACTTCCTCAATTATAATGAAATGGTAGTCTTTGCTTTGAATTTTTTCTTTTATATATATGTAGTAATTTGTACACCCTAAAAAACAAGGCTGATTTGTCCCTTGGGGTGATGGGTGATGGTCATATAGGGAAAGATAAGATTTTCCTTATATTTTGAATTCATCCAATTTTGGGGAATTCCAAATTAATAAAAAATACGTATTATGATTGTATTGCAAATCCCCTACACAAATACTTTGCATTTGATTTACTTTAAATTAAATAATAACAACATTAAATGTTTATCTCATTACGTGGGATCGACTATATGAATATTTTTTCTCCATTATGTCTTGTTAAGAATCAAATTTTCAATATATCTAATAAAAAAGGTCATTTCTAATAATTTATATCCAAGTCTTTTTAGGTCTACCTCTACCTTAACATAGGTCAAGTCTAACACAACTACTCTCCTAACTTTTGGTAATTGGAAGGTCGACATTTTATGTGACCAAACCAACTAAGACAGCTTTTTAATATTATCTGCTATGGGAGCTACTCCAATATTTTCACATATGCTCTTGTTTCACATTTTGTCTCTAAGAGTAAAGCTACTCATTTACTTGAGCATCCGCATCTCTACAACACTTAATTTTATGCTTCATTTTTAATGGCCAATATTTTGCGCAACAAAACATTGCAAGCCTCACCACCATCTTATAGAAGAACTAGAACTGTTGTAATATTTTTTTAATGTTAAGCTCATAATACTTGCAATTAAACAACTCCTAAATTTGTTTCCCAAAAACGTCATGTTCTCTGCGTATTTCTAACATCCCCTCTTATATCCTAGGTGTTAATATAATATCTCCATCCGTGTACCCCTCTACTCATCCATCATCAAAACAACTTCCAAAACTATATTTGAATAAAGCTGGATTTTTATAAGAAATTTAGCTTTGTTTGGGATGGCTTTTTTATTGCTTCTTAAAATAGCTATTTTTGTACTAGAAATTTGTTTTAAGAAGCAAGAAGAAAGCCGTCCCAAACGAAACCTTAATGTTTTATGAAAGGGCAGAGTTAGTTTCATATTCGATGATTCATTGTTTCTCCTCTATGCTTGCAACAGGCTCAGGTGGAGCTATTATTGGTAGGGATTACTTGTCACTGCTGGAGAAGCACCGGCCTGCGCTTCGTTGGGATGAAAAAAGCGCAGAACATTTTTTCATTTATTCGCATGAAAATCTTCAGCATGCTGTTTTCTATCCGTCCTTGAAGTCGATTTCCATGAGGCTGGATGAAGCCCGGGCTTGGGGAGCCAGTCTTTCCTTATGGGAGATTGGACAAGGGCTAGACTATTTTTATGAGCTCCTCTAAGCTTTATACCAAGCATTCATTTTAATAAATTGTTTTGCTATAATTCGCCTCTTTTGGTATTAAGATTGACAAAGCTTATAAAATGTTGACTGTAAATTATTTAAGCACATCTTGACACTTCAAAGTGGCCCATAAAATGTCCTGATTATCGGTGACTCTAAAAAGCTGTAAAATCTTTTAAAAGCTCCAATGGCATCCAAGGAAAGTCTACTTACAGACTAGCACAATCTGATTTTGATTTGAATCAGATTTATAACATAAGCTGTGATTTAAAGTTCCCATAAAATCTTTGAAATATAATTTGAGTACCCTGTGTGGAGGAATCAATTTGAGAGATTTTAACATCACGTTATGAAACATTACTCAGAATTTATGCTGCTTCAAAGTTTTCCTGAATGTTGCTACCAAATGCTTCTAAGAGCTTCAACATTAATCTTTGGACACCATCCACTTCTGAAGGAATTGTTTTGTGCTTGAGAAGGGATGGGATAACATTCTCCGACTTTTTTTAGTATTGTGATCCAAATTTGACCATTGCATATTCAGATTATTGCAACTATGTGGATGATTCTTCATTGATAGCTAATGAGCATTTAACTAATGATAACAATTTGTCTTGCGGAGCCAATATTTTTTTTATATGGGGACAAATTATTGAATTTAAAAAGAAACATCAATTTTTTTCATTCGGGCTTGAGAACGGCATTCGCGGTTTAATTTTTTTAATTTGTTATTATAAAAGAATAGAATATTTGATAAAGAAAAACCTTACAATTGAGAACATCAGATCTCGATATTCTTTTTACATACTGAGCCTTCATATTTTGAAAAAGTTGCACAAACATTTCATTATTAATACTATTAAATATATCTTTTTTAATATTAGAAAACAATCATTCATCTATGAGTTTTTCATATAAATCGATTACGTAAATGGTTCCTCATAATGTTTATTGCAGAAAATGCTCGTTAAGTTGTTTTGTAGCAATTGACAATATTAGAGCAAGCTTTATAAGTACTGATATATCATCATAAAATTATATTGATCGGGCATGAATCTCGAGGCAAAATCAAGTTGAAAACTTCGAAAACTAAATCATGGATCATCTGAACTCTTATTTTAGCAAACTTATAGTTGAACTGAGCGAATCAAAAATACGAACTCAACGACACCAAATTCAACCCAATTCGAGCTGAAGTGGGTCCAAATCAAAGACCCTAAATGCATTTCGTAAGTTAAAACCATAATTTGGATTACCAAATGGTTTCCAAACATGACATGCTTATAATCGAATCAACCGACTCGATAAGATAAATCCAATGACCCCAAGATTGTAAAATTCTACTATCATTAAGACATTCAAATGCCCAAAAAAATGGTCCACGATTAAGGGATTCAACATCGGTCGTCCATTCATATCACTCCCAATTTACCCTTAATATTCCTTTTATTACTAGTCATGTCACTCCAGAAAATTATAAATAGATGTCTTATTTCTCATGGAAGGGGACTGAAGGAAAGAAAGAGAAGGAATAAGAGAAATTTGAGTTCTTTTCCCACTAGAGTCCTCCTTGACCACCGTCAGACTTCCACCTGGCAGTCGATCGACTCCGAACTTTTGTTGGACTGTCGACTTACACCAAACTTCCTCCAGACTGTTAATTGAAGCCGGATTTTCGCCCGACCGCTAAACGTCGCTGGATTTCTGATCTTGGATTGAAACTAGATTCCAAAGCAACGGTTGATTATTGTAATATGATTGCCCACAATTTCAAGGAGTCAGCAACTTATGTCGTTACCTTACTCATAGACCCTCATTTCCATGACGCCATCTTCAACAAGAGGAGTACACACCACTCAACGAATCTCGAGCAAATGTGTTGATGGCCATCTGAGATCAGAAGAATATGAAATGATCAAATCCTTTAAAGTTGAATATATGAATCAGTATTGCAAACCTGATCCAAGCATGGTGATAACAAATATTATTGTGTTTGTTACCACTTTCTCCTATTTCTATAATATTCTATTTTATTTTATGTGTACTTATGTTTCAAGAAATCAGCCCACCGTTCACTTGCAATTATGATTAGCTCAAGACCGGGCAGACTAGGGTTATATTTAGTTTTCATTTTATTTTGTTTTTTTTTTCCTTTCTTGAGTCGTATCATGTAATTGGATGGATATATTTGCTAAGCAACCTTGCACACACACAGGGGGAAAGAAAAAAATATTTTTTAAGAGAGTTTTCTTTAGTATATCAAACTGTATGATTTCGATTTCGTTTCGTACAATCTTGTATGCACTGTATAAACTTAATTCATACTATATGATCTGTTGTGCTCTGTCAAGTAGTCGCAAGAGGTTAAGGAAGATACTAATTATATATTGGTCATATATTACAATTTGGTTTGTATTGTTCGCCGTAATTAAAATCTTTTATATTTAATCCCTCAATATCATGAAATAAAATCATAGAAAATTATTGCGTTTGATTATACTATACGATACAGTTCATATTGTATGATTGTCGGTGTATAAAATTGGTCATCCTAGAGATCATACCAAACAAAATTCATGATTTTTATACTGATCATACGATATGATGTCCGAAGTTTTGGACTATTGTTAATATACAAAGTTGGTCATTCTAAGAGTCATTCAAAATGAACAGAAGAAATTTCTACATTTTAGACCATACAGTGTTTTGATCGTATTGTTCAAAATATTATAAAAGTTGAACAATCTGCACAACCTTGTTGAATGGGTCTGAATTACACTGATATGTGTATCGTACTATACGAATAGAAGATAGATCTCTTAAAATTAGGGTTTATTGAAGCCCATTACTTAAAGTTTTCTAATATCCTATTAGAAAGATCTTTGGCTGTTGAGACTTCAGGAGAGAGAGCCTTGAGGGAGAGAAGAACGAAAGCTTTGTGAGAGAAGAGAGAGAGATTATGTGAGGGAGAAGTTATGAAGGGATTTAAAAGGTTTCTCCAAGTAAGAATCTTGCCTAATATCTACAAGCATATGCTTATATTCTTTGTGGCTCCTAGGAAGAAGCTTTTTAGCAAATATTGTGGTTCTTTTACCATCACCTGGAGAGTAAAAATAGAGTTGTATTTTTCTGACCATCACCAGGAGGGTGAAAATAGAGTTGTAGTTCTCTGACCATCACCTAGAGGGTGAAAATAGAGTTGAGGTTCTCTACCTGTAAAAGAGTCACGATTCTCTATCGCACCAGGGTGGTGAAATGGTGTATGTACAGGCTTCTCTGTCTTGTTGTGGGAGCTAAAAGAGAGTCACTTTTGTTTAATGCAACACTTGGAGAGGGAGTCTTCAAGGAGTGGACGTAAATTAGGTTGACCGAACCACCATAAATTTTGGTGTGTTCATTCTGATTATTTTATGTACTTTATTTTCTGCAATTATATGTGTGATTAAAAAATTTGATTTATTTCATTTTTTGTGAAATTTACTTGATTTTGTATCCGCTGTATCAATTAATGTGTGTGGGTTTAAAAAATTTTTAAGCAATATCTTTTTTACTAATTTTTTTTTTAAATATCCAATTCACTCCCTCTTGGTTAGCCTCGGGCTAGTTCTTAAAGGTCTAACAATCTTCACCAACTTTCTATCATGATCAATACTGTCATTTCCATTGTAGTCATGGGCGGACCACTAAAGCCTATAAGCAATTCAAAAATGAAATTGAACGACTTATCTAATATGGCTACCTTCGATAATTTGATCCAAATTCATATGCTCAAGATAAGGCACATCCCACTGATGGACAAAATTAATATCAACAAAAGGTAATTGTTGAATAATCATCAAACAGTTGGTGAGATAAAAAACTATTACAGATGGGCCTTTATTGTCTAATCAAGTCTTATTGGCTATAAATAAAAAGCTGACACCAAAGAAGTTTCATTTTGATCATTCTAATATTGTTTATGATTTTGATTTGGAGGGAGTAAAAACCCCTTATCAATATCCACTCATAATTAATGCGATATAGGTGACCCATGTCAAAAGATTTTTGTTGGACAACGAGAGCTCTGTGGATGTCTTATTCTACTATACTTTTCTCAACATGGGTCTCACTATAAAAAACCTTCAACCCGTCGCATGACTACTATATCGATTTGATACGAGTAGAATGGATAATTAATCTCCCAATTGTACTCAGATAATTTTCTTAACAAGCTACTCACACAATCTAATTTATTATGGTGAAATTAGAGTCAGCTTATAATGCTATCTTTGGAAGACCCTTTCAGCCAATCTTTGGAGTTGTATCCTCTATTACATACCTCAAACTAAAATATTTCACCCCTACTGGGATCAGTATCAAGGAGACCAACAAGTGGTGTAATCATACTATCTTAAGCAGACTCAACCACGCCCATCATTACCCTAAGCATCAAGGATTTTGATCTTCAAAATGAAGATATCCATCAAAAGGCTTCTCCTGTGAAAAAACTCGCTTCTATATCAATATCAGAAGAGTACCCTTAAATGACTTAGCAATTTGGTTCTTTTTATTAATAATACTTCTTATCATATTTCATCGTGTATCTCTTCTATGTTTAATGTGGTATAGCTTAGTTATCCCTGGTATTTCTTTTGCAACTATTATTAATATTTTTTGATAGTTCTTCTTATCTTATGTCATGTACTTTCTCCTAAGTGTTGAGTCTAGTAATTAGGTTGTTAAGCCTAAGTGAATGTCCCAAGGCTACCAAGAGGGGGGTGAATTGGTAGTTTAAAAAACAAAGTTAAAATTTAAGACCCCTTTTGAAAATTATTGAACCGAAATAAAATCTCTTTTAAATTTTGTAGAAAAAGGTTTTTCAACCACAGAGTTTTTAAAACTGAAATAGAAAGTGCGGAAACGTAAAAAACAGTAAAGTAAATGACACCAGATTTATAGTGGTTAGATCAAATGACAAAAAGATTGGGTGGCAGTCTAATTTGGACTATTTATACAAAAGACAAGAAAAACCGCCCAAAAACTGCAAGTATTCAATTCTGTACGCAGTGGATCGTCCTGTACGATCGTGGATTGTCCTGGACGATTTTACTTAAACGATCTGAAACGACCCTATTTGAATATGTGTACGAAATGTCTTCGTACAGCTGATCGTCATGTATGAACTAGGTTCATCCAGTACGAACGGTTATTGCAAGGTCGGTTCTAGAAACTGCTGAAAACTGTTCTAAGTCAGTGTATCGTTTGGACGAAAATTTATTCGTTTGGACAAAATTTTTACAGAGGACCGATCGTCCT